CAGCGCAAAGGAAGAAAAATCAGTTATTTCCGTCAAAAGACCCACGTTTTTATTAAAACATACAGTTAAAACACGACAAAAAGTCTAAAATCTTGATAAATTTGCAGTAATTTCGCTATTTTGTTCGTGGAAAATGCGAATTATGCGCGTATAATGCAAAAAAAACGTTATGCGGGAAAAAATACCAAATAATGCGAAATTATGCGGGCTGGAAATGCACTGTACAATGGTCCATTAACATTAAAAAGTTGATATCTTTCCATTTTGAACGATTCTAAAACATTATGCGAAATATGTGATCGCATAAAGTGACCATCTCTAGACATTTTACGATTGGACGCCTTCTTGTACGTCTTCATGTGCAACGTGGTCATTTTCACCGTATTTTCGTCGAAAAACCAACTCTAGCGCCCAAACGGTGCAAGATAGACGCAAACGGACGAAATTTTAGCCCGAAGGGTTCTACTTTCACGAGTTACCCCGTAGGGAACCATAAAAAAAAAATTGATTTTCTACTTTTTGGACCAACCCCTATTTCTTTGTTACCCCCTTTCAACCCCTCAAAGATGGTTGCTAGGATTTGCACCAGGCGTTTCGTTGTCCAGGAGTGACCCCTAAGATACCCTGAAATTTGCAGACCTCTAGCTCATCTCCTTCCTCTTACACGGACGACGGACGGACGGACGGACGGACACGAGAGCGGTTGCATAAGCCCGCTTGAATGCTTTTTTAAAAGCAGAAGGGCGGGCTAAAAAGGGTGAGGAGGGCAACGGCGGCGACCAGCCGCACCCCGACGGCGGTGAAGGACCGGCGCCGGGAAACGCCCCAGGGTCGAGGCGGCCCCCAACCTCGCCGTCTCGACCGCACTACACCTGTACGCGCTGTTTCCCGACGTTGACGCCGAGTCTTTGAGGACGAGTACGAGGACGGGCACCTGGTGCGAAGAGTCTGCCCGGAGGTAATCGTCACCATCTTTGATGCCTCTGTCCTCGTGCTCCTGGACTCCGGTGCCGAGGCCACCTGCGCCTCGGCGGGCTTCTGGGCGGAGCTGCAGTCACACCACGGCTCCATCCCCCAGCTGCCCCTCAAGGGCGTCAGCCTGACCGGCGCGGTCGGCACGAAAAGTCAGCGGGTCAACACCCAGGTCATGCTGCCCATCACCTTCGGCAGCTGGCATGAGGACGTCCCCACCCTGGTGGTGCCTGGGCTCATGCGCAAGCACGAGTGTGCCGACCTGTCGTGTTCGCCTTCCTTCCGCTGGGGCTCAGGTGGGCGGTGCCTACCGCCGGGAACCAGGGCACCGACCCTGGGCCGTCACATGTAAATAGAGACCTAAAGGGGAGGGGAG